AAAAAAAAAGAATTTATCATTAACGTTGACGTAATATTTCAACAACCAATCAGATTGTGACGTGATAATTAATGATATTAGTTTTTTTTTGGTGAACAAAGAGCTAAACTAATTTTAAAAAAGAAAATCATCTCCATGAAGGATCAAGAGAATAACATTTGAAGGGAAAGTATCCGTCTCACAAATTTATCTTTCTGAATCATCTTCACCATGCTATCGGTTAGCCTATTTGCTCCTCGTCGAACCCGCGAGAATAGTATTATAATTAATTTAGGCAAATACAAGATAATATTTATTTAAAGATAACTCTTAAACATTTGACATTGAACGCTCATACTTCTAGCATTTCTGATACTCGAACTCAAGGCCTCAAGGAATAATAACAATTTATTTATTACTAAGGTCGCTTGATTCGTGCTACAAATTGAAATATGAAATAGGAGACCCTAATCCAATTGCAAAGGCTAAAAATCCCGGGCTTTCTTAACCCTAAGTGCAAACACCCAGAATTTGACCCAATTGAATCACAAGTGGGCTTCATTCCTAACCCTACATTACTACATCCATATAGGAAATGATAAACTACCCTACGATCAATAAATTATTGATTCATTTTTATTTTGTTCACAGAATTACAATTTTTGTCAATTATGTCATTAAACTTTCAATTTGGTTTCAATCAATCCTTCGATCGTTAACCATTAACGTAATCGTTAACATGTTAGTTAAGCGAATTTTTATAATAACACATTTGTCCTCATTACTTATACATTCTAGTAGTTTGGTCATAATTAGGATATCAATACATTTGATCCTCATTATTTACATATTCTATATGTTTAAACTTAATTTTAATTATAAAAAAAACCTAGTCGCTTTCTTCCTCTCCTCTCTTTTCCCCTTTTTTATTTTTTTACAACTTGTGTCAATTTTATTGATTAATTTAACTTTTTCTTTTTTAATTTTGTTTAATCGACGACAATACCGATTTTAATATTGGTTTCCATCCGTCGGTTATCTTTTTTCTTTGTTTTTTTTAGTTTTTTAATAAGAATAATTATGTACTTGTGACATGTTCTCTACCTTTATGACACGTTTATCTCTGTCTTTGTGACATGTTTTTCTCTACCTTTTGGTAGCTTATAGTTTTTTGCCGTTGTTTTTGTTTATCTTTTTTCCAGGGTTAGATTTGACATCACGACGACTGATCAAGATGACACTTATTAGTTATCATGATGATCTTCCATGATTTGGACCCTCGGATTGATTTGGATACTCGTTTTGCGTTCGTATATAGTTTTCTCACGTCACTTGACTCTGATTTGCGATTTGTCGGTGTTCTTTCAGTAGCTCCATTCCATTTTGTGGTTTGTTTACTTATGCAATCATATTTTTTCGTATCTTTATTTTATTCGAATATTTTGATTATGTTTTTTAACCTTTTCATTTTTTGGTTCTTATGTGATCTAAGTGGCCAGTTTTTGTCTCAATGGTAATAGAAAAATGTCATAATTATATTTTAGGTTTACGATTATACTTGTAAATCTTCATTATAATTTTGGATATATTCTATTTTTAAAACTAGCGATTTTCTAAAAAAAATAATTTTACTTAGAAATAATTAAATAAATTTAATTCACTTATAAAATAGTGACACATGTCATCGTTATATTGGATGAAAAGTTGAGACAATTAGGCATGAACAAAGGAACACAAACCTAGGTCTTTATAGGGAAGTTGGACAGGCTTAACCAATGAGCTAAGCTCAACATTTACTTTATTTTTTGATAAAATATTAGATGTAAGCTAAGTTGTATCATATTAGTGAAAAATCAAGAAAATAAGGTTGAGGGGAAACTTGAACCGTATACTTCTCTAAAATAAAAATGAGTTTCAGGGAATTTCAACTTAAGACCCGAGTATAGGGCACAACACTTATGACTTATCCAAATTAAATATTTATTTAATAGTTAGTAAAAATTATATTTGAACTAAATTGTGTTTGACTCAAGATTATTATATTTTTAAATTAAACTTAATATTTTTTTTATTTATAATTAAACAGTTAAACTTAAGATTGTTTGGAAGTATACGGTAAAAAATGAGTTCTGTTTTTCTAAAAAATGTATTTTATTGTTTGATAAAACTTCTCATAATGGCCTCCGTATTTTTAAGTGGTCAAGGCTAAATCTTCATTGTGGCCCTTCTTGTTTCCCTATGATTTCATTCTGGTCCCATTTTAATTATGATTTCGGTACACCATTTATGCGTCAATTTTATTTTGGTCCTTTTTGAGCCTGAGATATTTATTTGAAAAATTTTCATTTGAGTTATAAAATTTATTTTTTTCTTCGATCCTACTCCTCACTCTTTTTTTATATATTCGATTTAGTCACTATCCCTTCGTTTATCCCACTTCCTAGTTCCATTACATCTGTTTCTATTTATTTTTACCACAATTGCGTGTGTGCCTTTCAACTTACCATTTACTTTTTTTATTCATTTAATTTAACCTTATATTTGGATTGATTTGTGTATAAATTACTTGATTGTTTCCTGCTTTTATCTACTGGTTTTTATTGGTGTAAGTTTAATATTCTCATGGTTTTTGCCTTGGTTTTAAGATGATTATGCGTTGAAATAGCATGTTGACCGTTTGTTTACCTTAACCATTTCATTCCATTTATTTACGCATGATGTATGCTAATTGATGCTGTAGGAATAAAGATTCGTAATAAATATGATTTTAGTCGTGCTAGGTATTGGTGTGTTTACATTTATAATTATGTTAAACCCAATTGGCAACTACGTGGTAACTTTATGACTTATATTACTTTTTTGTTTATTGTATAATAATGCAAACCTATATATATCAATTGAATGTCAGCATATGAAAGTTATTAATATTTGGTTTTTATTACGTTGTTGTTTGTTCATGAAATTGGGTTATTTGGCATTATGTGAAAATGTAATTAGGTGCATATAGGTTTACGATTTAATTTGAAACAATTTGTATGAATCCTCATAAGCATTATTTGATTCGATCAAAATAATTTAACTAAGGGTAATATCATTTTATTTTAAAATCGTGGTGAAGTGATTGTCTTAAGGTATAAGAATGTCACTTTCGATGATTTTAAAATAAAGGGGTATCCTAATAAGTGTAACCCTAAAATTGATTTCATTTAAAACTTGAGAATGAGAAAAAATTATGTTCTTCTAAATAAATTAACCAAGAAAAGACTATTAGATTGGATCTAAGGTCTGATCTCGATGTCTTTAAATAATTGAACATCCTTATTCTCATCAAAGGTCGGTAAATTAATTAATTGTATTCGTTTGATGTATGCATTTAAGTTTCGCCTTACTTTGTATGTGTTTAAAAGGGGTCTCAAATTAAGTTATATTCGAACGTATAAGTTTTATTGCAAAAACGACTAATTAATTAATTAGGTACCGATTTAGGGCACTGTGAGAGGATTTAAACATTTTCCCATGCGTAATCGACTCTCGAACTCGAAATTTTGGTAATGCATATCAAAATGTTGTTTTAATATAATTAAAATTTAATTTTATTAAAATAAAAAATGTATTTTGGGTGTCTAATCATACCCTAATAAAAAATTGGTGACGAACTCGAACTCGAAATTTTGGTAATGCATATCAAAATGTTGTTTTAATATGATTAAAATTTAATTTTATTAAAATAACAAATGTATTTTGGGTGCCTAATCACACCCTAATTAAAGATGGGCGACGACTCTGTGAACTGATTTTTATTTTAAATCTCAATCCTAAATTATTCGAGGCGAACACTTTTTTTTTATAAAATTCCAATTCTTAATCGACGCCATATTTGATAAGAAACACCCCGACAACTTGGCGACACAAAAAATATGGTAAATACAAATAGATACGAATTTTGTCAAGTCGAAACTGGTTTTTGAACAACCTTCATCTATCCTTCACCAGAAATCACCTCTTGAATTGCTAAATAACAAACCACCTTCTCTTTCTCATCTTAAAGTCTTTGGATGTTTGTGTTATGCTACCCAAACAAATTTCACGATAAATTTTCTCCTAAAGCTATCTCATCTGTTTTCATGGGATATTCTCCAACACAAAAAGGTTATCTTTTGTTCAATCTGCTTTCAAAGACTCTTTTTTGTTAGCCGTGATGTTCAATTTGATGAAAATATCTTTCCTTTCCTTTCCATTCTCAAACTCAATCTATTTCTAATTTGTTTCCTTCTCAACCCTATGTTCCCTATTCTGATTTCTTGATTTTGTCTCCTGATACTAATCCTTCTCCACATATATGTTCCCCTAACCCCTCTATTTCAACATCGGATTCTTCAGCTTCATCTGGAATTCCTACTCCGATTGTTTCTCCACCAGTTTTGTGTCCTAGACGAACTATTAAGGCGGTAAAACCCCCAGCATGGTTCAATGATTATATTACAGGTCCTTCTTGCCAGTCTTCATCAAACCAGTATCCTATTTCTTCATCAATTACTTATAATCATTTACTTGTTCATACCCGTTTGTTTCTTTCTTCTACTTCTTCTCTTGTTGAACCTACTTCTTATACTCAAGCTGGCAAGGATCTGTTGTGGGTTAAGGCCATGAATGAGGAAATTCATGCTTTGGAATCAAATAACACTTGGTCTGTCGTATCTTTGCCTAAAGGAAAGGCCCCTATCGGTTGTAAATGGGTCTTCAAAATTAAATATGATGCTGCGGGTGAAGTGGAGCGTTATAAGGCCCGTTTGGTTGCCAAGGGCTATACTCAGCGTTAGGGCATCGACTACGGTGATACTTTTTCACCTGTGGTGAAGCTTGTTACTGTCCGCATAATTTTGACTATTGCTCTTTGCGTGAATGCCCTATTTTTCACGTGGATGTCTCCAATATTTTTCTTAAAGGAGATCTCAATGAAGAGGTTTACATTCGTTTACCTGAGGGATTTTGTAGTCAGGGGGAGAACCACGTGAATAGTTATGGTGCTTGTGTATGTAGATGATCTATTATTGACCGGAAATGATCTTAGTATGATTGAAGAGTTGAAGGTTGTTTTGCATCACAATTTTAAAATCAATGATTTGGGTGTCTTAAAGTATTTCCTTGGTTTTGAAGTTCTTAGATCGAATGGTGGAATTTTGTTAACACAGAGGAAGTATGCACTAGAAGTTATAGAGGACACTGGGCTTGGAGGTGCTAAACCTGCAGTTACACCCATGGAACAACACATTAAGTTCACTTCAGTGGAGTATGATGGTGGGCTGGAGCAGGGTGTTAAGGATGATGAATTAACTATTGAAAAGCCTATGTTTCAAAGATTGATTGGCAGGTTAATCTACTTAACTCATACAGGACCTGGCATTATGTACACTGTGCATCATTTAAGTCGGTTTCTTCAGCATCCCAAACGGTCACACTTAGAAGCTGCATTTAGAATGGTCAGGTATATTAAGAAAGATCCCGGCCAAGAGATACCGGTTGCGTCTGTTGGTACGTGTCAGCTGCAGGCATACTGTGACGCAGACTGGGGTTTTCGTTTGATGACTAGGAGATCTATCACGGGTTACCGCATCAAGATTGGGAAGTCTTTGGATTCTTGGAAATCAAAGAAGCAAAACACCATAGCCCGCTCATCTGTAGAAGCAGAATATAGGAGCATGGCAATGACAGTTTCTGAAGTTGTTTGGTTGAGAAGATTGATGCTAGAGCTAGGTGAAAGTGAATTGAAACCTACTAAGCTTTACTGTGACAGCAAGACTGCCTTATAAATTGCAGCAAATCCAATCTTTCATGAGAGAACCAAACATGTGGAGCTCGATTATCATTTCGTGCGAGAAAAAAATACATGAAGGGATCGTGCAAACAACACATGTAAATAAAAATCAAATATTAATAGTATCATCTAAATAATTAAAACTTTGGATTTAATAATTATATTATTAAAATATTAATCTTAAAAATGTATAGACATTTGTAGAAGTCAAATTTATGATAAAATACTGTAAATGGATCCCACGAATATATACAAATCAAAGCCATAGTAAAAATTTTGAATCTTCAACAGAAAATCAAATTTGAGACTATTCACCTGGTAAGGTAAGGATGAGTCAGATTTCATATTATTTATTATTTTCCACGTCAGGATGAGGAGCTCCAAATTTTAAGTGGCGTGCAACGGCATCCATTGTCAGATTTATTAAAGAAGGGAAGAAATTGTATATTCTCAAATCCTGACGAATGGTGAACTGAAGGGATTTTTTTTTAGGATGGTCAAAATATCTAAATCCGATGATTTTTGATTCGATTCAATTCGGATATTAGGAGAGTTTTTCCCCCGGGGCTTAGACTGTGATAGGGTGGGTTATATAGTATATAATTTTGAGGCGGAGGAGATCGAGCTTAAGTTGAAAAATCGACTTAACCCGACCAGGTTGATGTATATATATATATTAGGGATTTTCATTTTATGTTATAAAAATATTATTTAATTATTAAAAATATAAAAATTATTATAAAATATATTATTAATCGTTAAAAAGAAAATAAATAATTATAAATGTATTATTATAAAATATATTATTTTAGTTATTTTAAATTATTAATATATTCAGATCGAGTCGGGTCATGGTTTTAGTCTAAAAATCGAGATAGATTCGAGACGAGAAAAAAACCTAAAATTCATCGCGATGGGACGAGATCGAATATAAGATTTATATTTTCAGATTGGGGTCGGACGGCCAAAAAACTACCCACCCCACCTCATGCCCATCCCTAGTTTTCTAATTTATAAATGTTCCAAGAAGTTTAAAATAATCATATTTAGTGTAAAAAAAATCATATTTAAGATATTATTTAATACTATTTCTTTAATTTTGTTATCATTGCAAATCAAATTAACTACTCAAGCATTAACAACCATTTCACCATTTGATCCAATAAGACGAGACATTAAATCACTTAAATAATGTCTGAAGTTTAAATTATAGTATTTACGAATGATTCAAATTGAGTTTTAAGAGGATTGTCCTCGTAATAAACATATGTAAAATCTGACTTGGAAGAGTCAACCAATAAATCATATATTAACCGTTAAACAAAAAAAAAACTACTCAAATAATTATTTATTGTAAAATCTTAAGTTAGTTAAAAATTATTTGGTTATTGTATTTATTTCATATATATATATATATATATGAAAAAAGATTCATTCATACCGTATAATTTTTTTAAATAATTATTTTTGAAAAATATTAGATAGATAAAAGCAGATAGTTGATACCAAAGATATTCACATGAAAAAATAACAAATAATTTCTACAGTCTATTTTCACTCATCCAACTATTTTAAATAAAAGTATAATACTAAAATTTTCACACCTTGAATGAATGGATCCTAACTCATATATCCGTAGAATTATTTTAACATGGCGTATTAATTATCTGTGTCATCAAACGTTACTGAAGCAGCTGAAGCATTCAACTTTTTCTTGCAGTACTATTCCATATGTCCGGAAAACCAGAAGAGATTGCAGCTACACCCTAAAACACCATTAGGAAGCTTACTATTCGGATTGGCAGGGTTTAGGGTTTCTAGAATTTAGAACATTACTGCTTAATTTCTAGAATTTCTTAATTTAGAACATTGACTCAAAAGTACCACACCTTATTATTCAACTTTCTTAATTTCTGAGATTAACCATATGCCTTCTAAATTGTCATTTTAAATAAGTATTTCAAAATCTTCTATAAGTATTTTAACCCGAATGTTTCATTCGATGTGGTGTAGTCAACATACAAACAACTTTTATAATAAAACGAATTACGCGATCTAAATAGTTAAAGAGATGATTGTTCTTTATTTCATTTCATTGAAAGATCCATAGTAAATTAAATTTGAGCTCGAAAAATAAATATTTAAGTTTTAAGTCTAGCTTGAGAATCAAACTTATATTTTCATATGTAAATTAAATTAATTTATCAAATTTAAATAATTTAATCTTTATGGATTCAACTCGAGCTTTCTAAGGGTGTTCAAACGGTTAATTCGGTTAATTGGCCGAACTGAATTACCCAAATTTCATTAACTGATTTTCCCCCTTTAACCATGCATAGAAGCAATTTTTTTCAACAACAAAAAAAATTAACTTGACCAAACTAGGTTTGGTTAATTGATCGGTTAACCGAATTAACCGAAATTTATAAATAATATATATATATTATATATTAAATATTTAATATTTTTGATATATTTGGTTAAAACCGACGTTTAAACACCCTAAAACTAAATAATATACATAATATATTAAATATTTAATAATTTTAATTAATTAAATTATTTCGAACCTAATTAACCGAAATCGAAGTTTTAAACGCCCTATTATAAGTTTTCCAATGTCATTATCCATGATAACGACATGCTAAATAATTCAAGGGAAGAAGCTTCTAAATTGGACAAAAATATCAACGAAATTATGATGTATGGGATGCCCCATGTGACCTATATTGACTAAATAGGGAATGAAAGGTTCATGTATTTAAATCCCTTCAAAATTTACATGCCCAAAAACTAAAACATCAATCAATAATCTCCAACATCCAACCATTTTTTTAAAAATATAATAACAATTTCTTTTAAATTAAGGATTTTGTACAAATTTGAAAATAAAATTAAAAAGGGGAAAGCAACAAAGAGGCAGAGACGAAATAAATTCTCAACAAGTGGGCGCCATGCACCATTTCTCCACTCCATGTGAAGTCCGACCATTTCAAACCACAATTGATCAATTGTATTCTTTGGTATTTCTCATAACCATTTTTTAGGTAAAATAATTAAATATTATTTTTTAAAAAACTATTATGACTTTATTTTTAAATTGGTCGATTTTGAATTGATTTGAATAAAAATGGAAAAGGAGTCGCCATCGACCTTTGGGTTAGGTAGGTCGAATACCTAAAAACGTCTTTTAAAACGATTTTAAGAAAAATCATTTTATAAGACAAAATTTGGTCTGCTTCACCAAAGATTCGATTAAATGGATTCGGGAGTCGGTTACGTGTGGGGAAGGATTAACACCCCACAACGCCCAAAAACTGGTACTGTGTCGCTTACACATTGTTGTAAATGGTGGAATTTATGAGTCGAATATAAAGTTAAAATGTGATTCATTTATCGAACATTGATTAATTTGCTTCGAATTAACTATTTAAACAAAAATCCTTTAACTCGATAAGAAATCTTGAAATTTGCTATCCTCCATCGGGAACGTTATTTCAACTATTTCTCATTAGTAAAGAATATTCTTCCTCAGTTATAAAAAATGTGAATCGAACATAAATTGATAATCAACATTTTCATGAAATAAAATAAATTGTTATTTAGAGACATTCATTGCAATGTTCGACTTAAAATAAAAAGAATTAATTAGCACGATAAAATCAATTTTATTTCAAGTTCACATTTGTTTAAATGTCGTATCGGGTTACACCGCTTCGATCAAGCGATGCTTTCCACGCCCATTCTACAAATCGTTGTTCTTGAAAAACATTCGAGTAATAACGCATAAAGGAGTAAAATTTAATAAATAAAAATAATTACATATTTAAACATGTAAAGGAGCTACAATAATTAAAATATATACATAAAAATGTAAGTAAAAAAACATCTAATAAATCAAGATACAAATTCAAGCTAAAATACACGCACACAAATATTGTAACATTAATATATATTATTTATTTATAAAAAATATGAACATAATTATATAATATGCAAAACAATAGTACATAAAAATAAATGAATAATAAACCCCTACACATATACATATATATAACACCAATGAAAATGAACACAAAACATGTAATACAATCATTTCAAGCATTGAAAACTAAAAAACGAAATAGTGAGGACCTAATGAGCAATACTAAGCTTTAAACACCAGATTAAATAGAGTGACCAGAATACAAATGAAACAAAACATAAGACTTCAAAGCATAAATTATTCAATTTTAAATGTTGAATAATACGAAGGAGTAAATTGAATACTACACAATATCATCAGTCAAAACTCTAAATATTTAAATATATAGGATTACAGACATATGAGACTAAAATAAATGAAATAAAAACATGCAAGGGCAAATAACAATTAGAGCAAAATACATTCACATTTTATAGTGACTAAAATAAAAGGTTTACAACTATCATAGCCCAATTCAAATATCAAAGAAAGTATACAACATCTAACATCAATGACTAAAATATAAGCACAGAAATATAAGTGCTAAAAATGAAATAAAATAAAATTACATTTAATGGTTAAACAAAAATATTACACAGCATAGGTGATTAAACATGTAATTAACCCAAACGATGAAATTACAAACTGCTCCCCAGCGAAACTACGTCGTTTCGTGGGAGATATATAACCCTAGGCCCAAAGCTTTCTCATCTCATCTTTCTTAACTGCTTCCTTTTACAAAAACCAGAGAAGAGAAAAAGGGAGGGATTCTCTCAACTCCCTCATCGGGGAGAGAAGCAATGGCCGCCGTCGGTAGAGCTCACGGCAGCGAGAGAGCGAAAACCACCTCAAAAGCTTTCTCTCTCTACCCTCAACCCAAAATCAAGCATCTCCTAATCTAAACCCAACCCTAAACCACTAGATCTAGACCGTTACCTTTCGAAGAATACGAAAATCTAATATCCCTTGGGTTTCTCGTCGTTCCTCCGACCAAGGTACGTTCCTTCTCCTCTCTTCTTATTTTTCTTTGA